CCATGTCTGCTGAAGAAAAAGACAACGCCCAAAAATTAAAAGTGAGATAAAAAATGAGTCTTTTCATTGGTGTGGAAAACCAAGGAAAGACGTGGAACTTTAATGGGCTTGAGATCACAGCTCTCAACCTCTTTTAAATCAGATCTGGTGTTCATTTAAACCTTTTATTAATAATACACTACACTGGAGCCCAGCACCTTGGCCCTGATGATCTCAGTGGTTTGGTATCTGCTTTAACTTCACTGAGACCACTGGAACCACCAAATTCCTAGAGATGATTATTCCCTAGTAAAAGGGATTTGATTTGGTCCCAAGATGACTATACTCAGCCTGCACAAACTAAGTGCAGTACCTCAGAAAATATGATCATACCTAACTTGTTTAAGATAAATTACTCTGGGCATAGTTATATGCATCATGCTTCTTCTATCGGTTCTAGATGTAAAGGTGTCATTTTCTTCCACATACTGTATGGACATGTATCGCATTGATATTCGTCAGCATCATTAAGAAACAGTTCTTGTAAATACTGTCATAGGAATAGCAAAGTCCTATTAGATACATGGAAAGCACAGCATGAGCCATGGGTACTAAACTCAGAAACAAATATACATGGCATATTCATGGGAATACTGTACAATATGCAAATATACCATAATAAACTTTTGTCAAGCTAACTGCCACCTATGTAAAGTGGCTCATGAATGAAAAGCTTAAATTGAAATATCCATACCTAGGACTTATCTTCTGAAATAAATATACAAGATTAGTGAAGTTCAGAAATAATGCTCAACTGGTAAAACAAACTTTCCTATAATGAGAAAGACAGTGCTAGGACTCTGGCACACTGGGCTGAAAATGGAATGTAGATATAGCATATGCTACATAGCAGATGCTACAGGACTGGCCCCAACTGAGCCAGGAATTCATTTGAGCTCCTCAGTGGACTTTTAAAAAGATGTCTATCTATGTCAAGGTGAGGGAGTTTGAGTATGGCGGTGACAGGATTCTCTGTTGAAGCTGTCTTCTGAATGGTTCAGCCTACAGAAGGCAAAAGCCATTCAGATCTTTGGCATTCATTATGTTAGACTTTTATGACTTGTTTATATAATTCCTCTTAATTCATTTCTTGGCATAACAAACTCCATCACGCCAACTACGCGTGCAAACACCATTAAGAAGGAAAAAAATTAATTAGCGGTCTACTGGGATGTGGGGCTGATGACATAATCCTTGGAACGCCATAAAAGTCCCTCTAGTTAGACCTCAACTGCTTCCAGCAACTCGACAACTTCTTTTACTGTTTTCTGTGTAAACTCTATAAATTTCTCTCAATTCGGTAAGTCAAATAAAAACGGTTCTAGCATAAAAATCTTCCCTCTCTTTTTCGTTCTCCATGATCTAGCAGCGGTCCCAGCTCACCATCGTAACTGCAAGACTATGTCCCTCTTGTTTTAACTCACCTGACCTCCATTAACGTAGCAAATCTAGGTTGAAAAAACTTAATAGCCTCTACTCTACTACACTATAAGTAGTCCCTTGCAATACCCATTACAAAATCAGTTGCACCTTATAAACTAATACATTCATGGCACTAGAATTTCCACAAATAATTACCACTTCATTTCACCATTTGTATATTGAGCGAAATTCTAAAGTACTGTACAAGTGAATGTAAGTTAATCAGCTTCAGGATATATTAACAAATTTAAATCTCCAGCTGTAGTTTTTTTTTTTATATAGGATACCCACCCAGTTTGGAATTTACCAATTTTATCTTTACATCTTGGCTCACTTTATCAGCCCCTGTATTCAGAATGAGAAAGAGCAGACCGGCTTGAAGTCACTCACCCATCAAAGGATTCATATTTTGACATGAATTTTATAAGCCCTGCAGTGACATACAAGAGTTTCAGTGCTGATTAAGGAGAAATGAGTCTTTCACAGCCGTCACCACAAAATTACAAACACCCACAGAGCTCCACCAGGAGATGAGAGAGCCAGAGCCGTTTAATCTCAAACCTGTCCCCAGTCAACTGTGAGCTGCCACTCTGAATCTCCAGTCACAGCCAGCTGGTGACATGACCCAGGTTCATCTGGATCATAATGCTACACCTGAGTGAGTACCTTTACCAGTTATCTTAAATTAGCTTTTTATACATAGAAATCTTTTTGTCAATTTTCACTGTAGCTCAGTGATCATATTCATGTGAATAAAAGTGATGATTGTTTTAATTTTCCTCAGTAAATATCAGGTGGCATGGTGGTACAATGGTTTGCATGGCTGCCTTGCAGCACTGGAGCCCTGGGTTCAATTCCAGTTCTTGGATGCAGTCTGTGTGGCATTCATATGTTCTCCATATGTTTGCATGGGTTTCCTCTTGGTGCTCTGCTGTGTGTGCCCTGAAATGGAATGGTGTCCTATCCAGGGTGTATCTGGTCTTGTGCCCATTACTTGCCAGGATAGGTGACCTGTTTTGGGTAAAGCTGTTAGAAAAAGGATAGATGGATACAGCAAATATTTTCAAATGGGATTTAAAGAACTCCCTCATTGGCCTCTGATCCTCCAATACTGACGAAGCATGTCCCCGAAACTAAAAACATTTACCTTCAGACTAGCACCATGTAAGTCAGTATAAACTCTTATACAGTGTAGCTACTCTGAAAGCACTACCAAGCTGCTCTGTTTTTAATATGTAAGATTTGGCTAAAAAATAAGATGTACATTCTTTGGTCCATTTACTTAGAATTTAGTAAGCCATAGTTTCTGCATGAAGTATACCTTAATTATACATTTACTTAATACTCTCAACTTTCAACTCTCAAGTGAAATCACAACCCTTTTATAGAAACCATATAGTCAGTACACCATCAAAAAATAATACAAGTAATTAGATTTAAATCACAACGTGGTTTAAAGATTATATATATAAACTTTTTTAACACAATATCACCCTACTGTATATAGTACTGAGCACATGTATAATTGTCACCAGGTGATGAAAGACTGACATGACACAAGGTTTTACAACTTGATGAAAGCATGCTTGACACAGAAATGTTTATTTAATCAGCAAAGAGGAAAGAGAGTGTCATACTGTACGTCTTTAATTATAGCTGAACTCTGTTGGCCGCCACCTCACTAAAATTGTAATCTATTCTCTATTTTGAAACGTATTATTTCATATCAAACAGACAATTGTTTAAAGATGTAGTGTTCAATCTGATTTTAAGTTTACATTTGGGGTCCTCATTGAGAGGGATTTCTAAATGGGCATTCTTCCACCACAAAAGGTTGAAAACCTCTGGTTTAAACAGGAATCAAATTGGAAATATACAGTAAACAATAGAACAGAACAGGGCACTGATATAGATAACTGTGTGATTTCATAACAGAAAAGGGAAGCTAAAAGGACAGTGTTAATGTCAAAGACTGACATACCTAGTACCCAAGTAACCAAGTGTGGGTATAGGACAAAAGATCGTAATGTTTAAAAGATAGTACTATTTAATCTCCTGAATATAGTCTCTGAGAGGCTAAAGCTATAAAGCAAATTCTTTTTTTGACATGTCAGAAGTCATTCTGTAGCAGCATTTGTCTTATGGAAGTCTCTCTGTCATTCGTATCCAGAGGAGGACTGACACTCATATTTGTTTTGTCAGTTCATTCATCACTTTAATGTACCTTTTGCTCTTTTGCAGACAGCCGTGCAACAATTACAGAATCTTACACTCTCCTGTATTCCAGCTTTCTTTTTCTTGGTTTAAGTACATTCACAGGCACTGTAGTTAAGTGACTAGTTTGTTTGGAATCTTAATCTCCTACTAACCTCACAGAGGCTGAGCAGGCTGAAGTTCACATCGCAATCACCATACACAGGAAGTGCTGTAGTAGGACATATTCAAAGGTGCCACACTGTAAGTTGCAGAGGTAATAAATGTAAAGTCATATTGCTAGTGAAAAACAGACGGCTAACGACAAATACTTCCTGTGTATGGTGATTGCGATGTGAACTTCAGCCTGCTCAGGCTCTGTGAGGTTAGTAGGAGATTAAGATTCCAAACAAACTACTCACTTAACTACAGTTTTAAAGAGTAAAGATGCAATTTTCATTTTGCACTGCATAAACATGGCTCAAATTAAAAAAAGACCTGTTCTACCAACATACAAGGAAGAGACTGAGACACAAATTGAAAGCGTAAAGATGTACAATGAAAATTCCAACTGAAATGCCTGAGAAAGTTGATATGAGTGGGTGGGCACTTTTCATCTAACTGCCAAAACGTGGAGAAACAGTCAGATAATCACTGACCCTTCTATTAGAGAACATGGTACAGTTCACTGCATATACTGCCTGTTGAGCTGGGCTTAAATTGTATAAAACAGAGAAGATCACAGTACTGTGCTGAGCATTATTTGTTATTGCTAAGTAAAAGCAGTTTAATACTGTCCAATGCTTATAACATGAGTAAAGCTGAAACTAAATTGTGGTCTGAAGGCAGATAAATACAGTAACTCCATGTAGCTTCTGAGTAACCTGGTTTCTTCTTTGTTCTTATTGTTGCTCTTTTTATCTGTTTGAGGCTAAAAACACCCAGAATCCCTCAGTGATGTGCAGATGTTGCCAATGGATGGCAAAGAAAGATCTGCAATCATATCTCTCAAAACACCATTCCCCACAGCAGTGAAAGAAGAAGTAGAGACGGGTAAAAAAAAAAGGTTCAAGCAGACATGTATTGTCATTCTATTTTTATTCTTCAATAATCCATCCATTTAACTAACATCTGTGTTCAATCTTTTCTAAAAAAATGTAATACCATGAAAAAAAGAGTAACAGACCACTAGGTTTTAAGTATACTGCTGTGTGCATGAGGTTTTAAGTATACACACTCAAATTTGGTCCCTAATCATTAACCTTTGATTTCCAAAGTCTAGCTTACATTCGAATTGATCATAATAGCCTAACAAGGTAAAAAACATTGCTTTTGCAGCTACTTACAGTTCAAGTTGCGTATTCTGAAATGGCCAAATCACATCATTGTAGAATGCTTTGTTCTTGCACGTATTGCCTTTTGAAGGTCGACCACAATGGATGCTGAAAAACATGCAAACAATCTGCTGTCATCATTCTTATTTTTTAACACATACCAACAAAAAAGGTAAAGTCCACTCCACAGCAACAGTGGTTCTTCAGGCCAGAACTCCTCCTGGTTTCTTTATAATATAACCTCTGTAGTATTTCTTTAGTTTAGTGTTTTCTAACACAACATCATTTGATGCTGGTTCTTTATGGTCACTTTGATATGCTCCATGGCAAAAGTGTAATTGTCCTTACAAGCCTTAGCCATAATATTCTCAATCAGGGAAAATCAAAATTCTTAGCTAAATATCAATCACAGCAAAAAGACTTTTGGCATGTTCCCTGTCATTTGAAAGGAAAACCGAACAGTGGCGGTATCACATCATCTTCCTGCTTCAATAGAAAGGAAACAAAAGCTGCCAGAGGAGGAAGGCTGGGTTGTTTCACTGCAGTACCATGACAACCAGTTTCATACGAACTAAAGCAGTTCCAAGTGAGAACAGGAAAAGGGAGAGCAATATGCTTCAATCTCAGTGAACAAAACCTTCCCATTTATTGAGTAAAGCTGCAATTTTACAAGGAAAATTAATAGCCATAGTACCACTAAAATGGTTTTGAATTAGGCTTTTACAGCTGCGAAACACTGAACACTTTGAATAATACCAGAACGTCAGCTCTCATGTAAATGTGCCGCGTGAAAGAGCTCTAACAATAGTGCACGAATAAAAAACAAATTTAAAAGGAATGCTCAGCAGCAATAATATGTTCTGAGCTTTGGAGTATCATCCAAAGAAAACAAATAATTGATACACAATGAGAAAAATTAATGACCAGAGTTGGGGCTTTTTTTAATGTTTGAAATCAAGGCCAATAAAAATTAGCACTAAAATTACCCAGGGCATTCAAGGTTAAGAAAGAGTTGAATTTTAATCAAAACATTTCCACTCCTTGTTTAATTTGAAAAAGAAAGGTTGACACTTTTAACAAGCTCAGAATCAGTTTGTTTTTCTTACCTTCTGGATTTCCCAGTTATTTAGTTTTTCCTCCCTATTACACACTGTGGTATATGGACTATGAGTCATTTTCTGACGTTTCTGCTTCAACTTTTGCTAACCATGCAAAATAACTGGGCTGTCAAAAATTGCTTCTAAACAGACTTTAAGAGGCTGACCGCCAGGAAATTAGTATGGGAAGCACATTTTTACATTGTGCCACTCTGCCTTCCAAGACAATGTCACATATCCCCCTCCCATATGCAACAAAGCTAAGTAACAGTTTCTTTTGCTTAAAAAGTAAGAAATACAGAACAGAAAGTACACAAACAATGACAATCACATACAAAATGTGAATAAGGTGATATCGAACTTGTCAGACAGCCAATGACAGGAAGATGGGCTACCTTAGAAAGTGCTTGCTTCAGATGAAATGAGATGATCGTTGATCAGGCACATTTAAATCTAGGTGCATTTTTTAAATCTTCTCCCAGTGCCCATTTCTGAACACATACTGTATATGTGCCAAACTAAGGGCATGGAAATCGTCTTGCTGTAATTCATTCAGAGAGACTCACTGCAGAGCTCTCAATTTCTCGTGGGTTGGTTTTCTTCAAGTGCTTAATGCTTTTCCAAGAGCAGATTTGCAGACTCTAGGCTGAATCAAAATGAGGGTGGTCTCTCATGCCGCAATTGTCCACTGGAAAGACCAAAGTCTTGTAACAGCTGAGTGTGGCAGCTTAAGATTTTGCCAGCCTCAAGTGCAACAGATCCCGTGGCCTTTTATACTCCTCTGTTATCACTTTGAGCTTCCTGCGACTGCCTTTCCAATCCCCAAAACCACAATTGTAAACCTAGCTCAGCAAGTTCTGTGATCTCAGGTGCATGCCAAGAATGTTCATGCATGTACTGTACTCTAATGATGTACATGTGCGGACAGTAAAGGATTTTTTAAAATCCACATTTCTAGAATTTAGTTTATTGCATCTGCCTGACCCCACAGCAGCAGTAACATTTACTGTATTACTTACAAGAAATATCGGTGCATCTTAATTTAATAATACAAGTAAAACATACATTCATGGTAATTATGGCTTGTCAGCATATTTCTACATTCCCAATGCAGGAGCTCAACTGTATATGATGATGAAGGATGACAAAAAAACAGTTATTGTCTTGGCCACATCAGCTATGGTACAGAAAGTAACTCACTTTCCAACCACATGAACGTCTTCAAATCATTTAAAAAAAAACATTATACCACAAACATTAATGTTAATGAAAAGCATCCTCTTTAAAAAAAAGTGAATCAATAGCTGGAATTAAATCTCCCAATTAATATGAAAAAAAACCAGAATGAGTGCACATAGCGTAAATAAAAAGTCATCACACAACATCACTGGAACAAGACCAATGGACTGTCAGTGGTGTCCTTCACACAAACTACAAACGATAAAAAGGGCTACACATATCATAGTAACACATCAACAGGGGCATACTGGGGCGTGCAAAAGGTTAAATCTTTCATTAGCAAACCATGGAACACTCGCATTGACGTTGCTGCCCCAAAGCAACGCTTTTCTCGAGTCTTTTGTCTGCCATCATTGGGCCACGATATTGCCCTATCCCTCAGACCACGCTGCCTTCAAATACAGGCTGTACAGAACAGCTACAGTAGCTCACTATGCCTCATCAGACAACTCCGCTAGAATACAGTACAGTACATACTGTACACTCCAAGTGAATTTAAAAGTGGGAATTTGTTGGTGGTGTAGTTCTCCGACTCTTGAGATCTCTGCACACAAGTCTTCTGGTAACGTTTAACAACTCAAACGGCACAAGAAATGCTTTGAAAAAACGTCCTTAGCGTTTTACAAATGCATGTCAAAATCACCGATTCAACCTTTTCTTGTGTTTTTTGAGCGTGTATTTGTGTTAAAAAGTCCCAGCGAACCTAACTGAAAGGCGAGCTGTTTTTTTATTTTTATTTTTTGCACAATTTGCAAGTCACACAACTGCTGTCCCCACTGAAACACCTTAATCCAGCAAGAACGTCGGCATATGGTTCGCATTAGAACAAGAGCCGCTTTTTCAATGGAGTGCGTGCCTCACCACACCAAGAGAAACTGGATCTGCCAGCCCGCTCCACTGCCTAAATGTTACCTTGCGCGGCCCTAAATAATGTATCAAGACGATGCTTCTTTGGAAGTTTTACTTGGAAAAAAAAACAGCATAGTAGCTTAATGTTTTCTAAATATAAATGTGTTGTTTACTAAATAAAACAAAGGCACAAACACGATACCTTGCAATTAGTCTAAACTAGCACACAACTCGTCAACCACCTTGTAATTAATGGACTGCAAACTCTTTACAGATCTTTAGGGTGGTATTTCACAAATATTCAACCTTCAAACCCCTGAGCATAAACGTACACACTTTTTAAATACTAAACAATAAACACATATGACTGAGTGTGTAATATCTATTAGTGTGCGATGTGGGGTATTTACTTGTGGTACAGTATAATTATCTCCAAAGAGTTGTGGTATCCCTTTACTTTTCTAAACTACAAACGTTTATGAAGTAGCATTAATACAAAAAAGTCGTACTGCTATTCCACTGCACCCTAAATTGCTACTGTAGACAGGTTAAAGAAACTTCAGTATGAAATTCGAGAGTTGATAAACAGCTATTTCCAACAAGCAAATAAAAATAATTCAAGAGCTTCTGAATGCATCGGGCTGTTGTGAAAACATACAGTAACAGCAAGAATACTGACAATGTCCGTGTAAGATCTTCATAAAAGCGTATTTGTTCTCTTTTTAATAATGCCAAAGTTTTTTTTTTTTAATACAATACCTTCTCCGTCACCAAATGAATGTTGTGGGAATTAACGTGCTCGTGCAACTCCTAAAATACACTTAAGGAGATGGCTATTATTATTATAATAATTAATAATAATACAAATAATTCGGTTAGTAATTTGTCGTTTTAATTTCCTTTACCATTTTTATTATTTTGCCTTTTGCTAAGATTGCAAATCAAAGATTATTTCCCTTTGCACATCAGAATTCATTGGTTTTGTATGAATTGATAGAGCATCTCGAGCAATACCTTCCTTCACAGTCAAGCACCATCCACGACAAGCATTACTCTAAGCATTATATTTGTACCTGGTGATGGTGAATAACACAAATACCCTTTAAGACTAAACCCATAGCCATACACCTCTGAATTTACAGCAGCATTCGGCAAAAACCCACAGTCAAAGAAGATAAAAAGGAAAAAAAAACGGAACGGTCACTTACAATCATCTGCTCTTTTTCTATGTTTGGCTGTGTCTGCGTCCGTTATTCCCAAAATCCAATTTGTATGCAGATCTCTTTACCAATTGCCTTCTGTCGCAGAGCAAACGTAAAATGAACAATAAAGAAATGCTTACTCAGTCTACATATTTATCAATTTCACAGAAAAAAAAACAATTAAATATCCTTCCTTTCTGGGAAAATCCGTTTTGCTCTCGTTGACTTCCCACAGAATGGGGTTTTCTCCTTTTCCCATTCGATTCCGTTGTCAGGTGGACGTGAATTTCCAGTTCAAATGCCTGGATCTTTTCCCCCTTCCCTGTGTAACGGCGCGCCTCTCTCTCCACTTGGTTTCACTGTTGCGGGATATGGTACTCTCGATCCTCGGTATTAGACACGGTTTCCACTGTTAGGTTCGCCCCAGAACATACAGACTGCACCTCGACAAGTGAAATCCGATTCTACTACAAGGCCGTCCTCTCGCCGCTATTTGGATAATTTATTCAACACGTGGAGAGCTGAAACCAGGCTACTTAACCGTGCAGCTACTAGGGGGAGCCAAGTGAAAAAATATATATTTTTGGGGCTATTACTGCAGACTTTGGTGCCACCAAGCTCTGCGAAATGGAAATTGTGTTGAAACAAAGAATTGTTCTTTTGTGATGTCAAAGTTATTTTAATTCTAACATGAAGATGCAATCTCTTCCTTTTTAGATCTTTTCAGATCTCAAAGGAAAGAATGAGGGGTACCCTTTTTTTTCTTGAGTGCTGTTACAGGACATCCACACATCTTGAGCCTTAAAGAAAACTTCAGTGTTCCAGACAATTACAGACATCACAGGCCAGAGAAAGAATATATGCTAATACAAATGAATACTAGATTTTTCTATACATTACTAGGATCTTCACAATACAATACATTACTTTGACTTTAAGGTCAGCCAAAATGTATTGAAGTCTTAATGACTAGCTTCTAACAAGAAGGCAGGAATCAGGAGGGTCTGCACAGTGGGCAAATTAATGAATATTTCAAGAGTTTCATGAGACAATCTTCAAACAATAGATCATGTCTGTCTGTGGTGTACCTGTTACCTGTTTTGAAGACGGACAGGAAGCTTCAGTGTCCATCTGTCTTTCATCTGTCTTACACCAAAGATACAATAAATATTTAACAGGGAGAAGAAATGGGTTCTTCCAAGTCTCCAGATGCAGCTTCAGTATTTCCCTTTTGAAAATTAACCCAAATTACAAAATCACCCCCACATCATTCTTTGAAATTGCAAAATAGTGTTTCATCATATACTGTACAGTACTGTACAGTATATTTAGTCTTTTCTTCACAAACATATCTAAACAAGCTAAATATGAGTATTCATTTACACAGACAGTAAACCCATGATAAACTGGTTTGTTACGCTCATAGAATATGGTTTAAATGTGGCACAGATACTTGCCCAACATCTGGTCACACATATATTGTCATTTTAATATGATATCCATTTTGGATAAGGGAAGACTCCATGTTAGTCACTCTAGAATTGTGGCATCTAGCCATTGGATAGACTTACACTGTCAAAGTAGACCAAACTAAACCCACTCTCTGCTAGACCACAGAGCAGACATCTGTAAACATCATAGTAAAAAGGCCTCAGATGGCGAAAAATGAAAAACAATAACCATTTTTTGAGAGCTCTGCATTATTAAACATGAACCTTTGAAAAGATAGATCTCATCATATCATAACAGTTAATTGACACACACTGAGGCACTTCTAAATAATCTGCTTTAGATTTTTGCTGTCTTTCATACTATACAAACTCTGTAAGCATTATATTGTGACACCATATTTACTGCATAATCTTTGTTAAGACATAATGTTGCACTGGAGAAATGTTTGAAACACTCTGTATTGTGATCTTCTTAGTCACGATTGCCTTCACTGACAAAGCACAGATTTACCAATGACACCAATAGTCAGTTTTACAAGGAAGTTTTTGATTGGTTGGCATTTCATAATGGTGTCCTACTGAATTTACCTTAAAGAGTAAATATATAGCATATGAAGAATTGGAACTTACATATATCAAATAATATGTCATATTGCATTAAAGCCATAGTTTCCATGTGTAGGATTACTTATTCTCTAAACTAAAGGTACTAAATACTAATTTACTATTAGGATTTACTAAATGATTCCATTCACTTGTTCCTTGCAATTTTTATTTCTTTGTGTACATCTGCTGTCTCATAGCAGAGGCTTTTTTGGGTTGATTACAAAAAGTATTTTACCAAGCATAACAAGAGTATTTTTAAAGAATATTTAGTGTAAAATGTATAAAGTATATTTTGTCTGATTCGTCATTTTACATACCATAAAATGGTATAAGTTTTATAATTCATACATGTAGCACTTTGAAATTACCACATCTCAAATTTGGGAAAACGTCAACATTACGGCCAGCAGCCATATCACTCTGCAACTCACAACTAGCAACCCACTGAAGCTAAGCAGGTGTGAGCCTGGCCAGTACCTGGATGTGAGACCTCCTGGGAAAAACTAAGGTTGCTGCTGGAAGAGGTGTTAGTGGGGCCAGCAGGGGGCGCTCACCCTGTGGTCCATGTGGGTCCTAATGTCCCAGTGTAGTGATGGGGACACTATACTGTAAACAGGCGCCGTCCTTTGGATGAGACATAAAACCGAGGTCCTGACTGTCTTGTGGTCATTAAAAATCCCAGGGCGTTTCTCGAAAAGAGTAGGGGTGTACCCCGGTGTCCTGGCTGAATTTCCCCATTGGCCCTTACCAATCATGGCCTCCTAATAATCCCCATCTATGAATTGGCATCATTACTCTGCTCTCCCCCCCACTAATAGCTCATGTGGGGTGAGTGTTCTGGCACACTATCCAGGTGGATGCTGCACCTGGATAGAGGAAGGTCCCCATTACCTGTAAAGCGCTTTGAGTGGAGTGTCCAGAAAAGTGCTATATAAGTGTAAGCAATTATTATGATATTGATGTAAAAATACAGAAACACTTTAAATGCACAATTGTTAGTAATTAGTAATTGGTTATTTTTAATTAAAAATAGAGCTAAGCATACCTAAAGCTCATTTCATTTATGGACTTACAAAACATATTTAAAGAAAATGGTGTGTGTTAATCAAATTTTGTAATTTATTTGTAACTTTAGGTGAAATCAACAGCTGCTTGTTTCAGACCGAACCTGTAAAATGATTAAGTTTTCATTTAGAAGAATGAGAAATTGTTTTAATGGAAAACTTAATATTTTACTTCTCTGCTCTAAAATAACATGCAAATTAAGAACAAATAAATATATGAAAAGTTACAAACAACAAACACCCACAAAAATATTTAAAAGATACCAGTCAGTCCTATGTGAATCTAGTGAGAGGATTCAGCTCATGCAGCTTGCTTGGTTGCTATTAGCTATTGATCTAAGGATCTTATCCAGCCATTTCTTTAAAAAACAGGGTGTAGCAAGGTAGCTAGTGCCATACCCCCACAACTCTTTGTGTAAAAAAAACCCTAGTCCCAATTTTAAATGTCCTTCCCTGAAGTTGCTATTTGTATTATTTCATGTTTCACCATTGATTCTAAAAAACATCAACTTGGGTGCCTTTTGTAAATGCTGTTGAGAACTTGAAATACTTTAATCAAGACAAAAAGATTCTGTTCATTTTGCCGAGCTGTTTAGGACATTCCTTTAAGCCCGAGGATGTACTGTATCTGGAATTTCTTTGCTGGACTGATTCCAGAGCAGGGATTTATTTTTATATTTGATTTACCTTGCCTGATGTCCACTGAGTGTCAAAACCTTTACCTGCTATAGCTTACATTTATTAATTCTACACCATACATTTGCCTCTGCTTTTGCAATCATTACAGTATATGCCTCAAGAAAGAGTGAAAAAAGATTGCTTGTTTGTAGTGATGCAAGCATCAAAGTATCCACTAGGGACAGTATATTCTTTTTCCTTAAACAGCCAAGTATGTAGAAGATTTAAACAGGCCATTTCTGCTGAAAATCATTTTATGAACTAAAAAGGTTACACATGCACAATCTCCAGGGTGATTTCTGTGCTTTTCTTATTCTACCTCGTTCCTGTTGTCCACTGGAATATAGCAATAACAATTAGATGGACAAATAGGAATAAAGTCTTGTGTTGGACAGAATTTCCAAAAACTTGTGCTAATAAAAGGTTTCATGAATGGAGAAAAAAAGTAATATGAGAAGATCAGGAATTAAAAAGTAATTATTCTAGATGTGAAACACATTTACAGTAGTTGTCGCTTGAGCATATCTGGCAGAAGAAAAGTTGGTTAAACAATTTATGAGAACAAAATAGAAAGAAAAGGATTTATTAGAAAATAATAGCAAAAAAAGCTGTTGCCTTTATGAGTCCCTGTAATAAACATTACAATACACCTTTTCTTGAAACATTCATTGTCAATCTATAAAAACTTACAAGTTTAAACATGTGTAATTGCATACATATTTGTTTTACTTACTAGACAAATATAGGTGGATTTCATTTATGCATTTCAAATACACACAAAAAATACAAAATTGAATTTTATGTGCACCCTTTTAATAAAGAACACATTTTGAGCTTTGACACAAACAGTAAGCACTTTCTGGTTGATGTTCCAGTATCATCAGTAACACCACTGAACATCATTATTCAATTAAAAAAAATCTCTTTAAGAGTAATGCTAGTATGTAAGCTGCCATTTTCTAACATGTGCCAATATTCCTCTAAAATAGGGCCAAGTTGATTAAGTCCATACCAGTACAGTACTCAGTTCTCCCTCTGTACTAAATTGTTTTAATTGGTGATGATAAATCATGGTAAAAGAGGCCTGAGATAGATAAATATCAGATAGTAACAGAGACAGATGCATGTCCTGTTGTCTAGCTCTTTCAGATTGAAACTATTAGCCATTTTTGTGTAGTTACCCTCTAAATGCCTTCTTTTTTGTGGCCAGAAATTCAGTGGAGGATGCAGTATGAAGTATAGTCAGCCAAAGCGAGCTCATGATTTCTTATTAGTTGAGCTGGACACAATGAGCAGAAGGTCAAGCCTCATGAAAGCAGAGCTCACCTTGAACCCTCTACAGCCTTCCCATTGGTTCACAGTTTCTTTGCATTTCATTTATTTGAAAAAAATGAAACCCTCTGGCAGTTCAGTCTAAATCCTAGACAGTGATACAACTGGGCCTTTTGTTTAATTCCAAAAGCATCCTGCTAAGTAATCTATAAATAAAAAAGGCTGTTATGCTTGTTTTTTGGTTCTTTTCCCGTACTCTTTCCAAGCAGGTGTATGTATTTGGCCCTTTGCTTCCTTCCTCTTTAAATAAAGAAATTAGCTCAGCCCTGACTCTGTTAACGGGGAAAGGGTGTTAGTTTTCCATTGATTGAG